AATCCAGTTTCTGTTTGCGTTTTGTGTGGATTAACCAGCAGATTTGCCTCGTGTGATAACGTCCTATATTGGGTATCCTGGTTCATCTCATGGAGAGATACACATGGAGACTTCTTGAGGAATCCATTGTTCTCTGCCACAAAGAGGCCTGTGGCCTCACTGGAATGGAGACATATGGAATGGACTGTTGAGATGTAAATGGGGTTTAAATTTCCTAGACTTTGCAAATCTCCTTATAGCCACTGGGCCAGAAAGAGGAGGATCCTGCCTAAAAAAGATATCCTCCCCACCATATACTATCTTAACTAAAGATTGAAACAACATGTAGGCATCTAACATATCCAATTGTTTTTCTCCTGTTTGGTTTGTAACATCTTGCCTGACGAAGAAGCCCATGAAACTTCGAAAGCTTGCAACAAGTATATTGTGTATTTTGGTTGGCCAATAAAGGTATCACTGATGGATTTTTGTTTGAACTGGTTTATCTCTGTTTCTAGCACTCACCTCAAAACAAAGTTTGTTCCCAGTTTACAAATTCTATTTTTATCTGGGACCAATAAACCAAGATGGTGAGCCTCCTCATTAGTTTAGTGGCTCACATTAGCAAGAGGAGAAGCCAACTGAGGGAGAACAGGCTGTAAAACATCACATAGCTCATTCACAGGAAGCTAGAATTCTCCAGAATTATTCTGTGGGAATGTAGCAGTTATGTTGCTCACTTTAACAGACAAAATCAGTGAGTGAAACAGCATCCCTATAGTTTGCACATCAGTTATCAGATGTGTTTAATTGTGGCAGGAATTTCAGCTTAATACTTTGCAATTCAAGAACCAATTCTCCTTACCAAACCCTAAATTGTGTCAATGGGATATGTAAATCAATAGATTTTCATGTCTCTGTGTACCCATGTACATGAATGTGGCCTAGTGATCTAATGTAACCTAAGAGTAACAACATCGTTAATTGAAAGAATACTATTCTGAACTTGGAAAGTTACATTTTTGGACTTCCCAAAAAGCAACTTTTCTAAGCTCTGATGCTAATTCTTTCTTTCACTAATAAATTGGTTTTTCACTGGAAAACAAAACTCCTGTAGCAGTGCTGTGTTTATGACATTTAAATAACATAGGTGCTGGTTTTTTGGCAAGTATCATGCTAACTAATAACAATAGGAAATTTGAAGTCAGGTACTGAAGGATTATTATAGCAACTGGTTTGCTCAGCCACAAGCAAATTAGCATAAGTTACAGGATCAATTAAATGAAATTCAAAGATCTGACTCATCATTTTGTCTTGCAAGTATTTACAACTATTCTATTAAGTGTAAATCCCTCTGATATTTCCACTTTATTTAGAAGCAGTCTCTGTTTTTAATCTGTAATTGCTAATAAAGATGGATAAAACACCACCGTCAGTTTTACCATAGACTGCTATATAACTCATCACTATTCATGTATAATGCAAAATAAAACTCAGTTCACTTTCCGTTCTTCCATAATGACTCTCCCCTCCTGGGATTAGAGAAACTTTAGTGTGTTTTCTCATCCCACCCAGTGTGAAAAACAATAGGAAGATAATATACAGAGTCCACAACCATGGTTACCAATGTCAACTATAAATTTAACTGGAAGTGCCAGTGAGGCATAATGGTTTGAGTGTTAGACTAAGATTCTGGAGATCAAGGTTCGATTCCCAGCTTGGCTATGAAAATGCACTGGGTGACCTTGGGCAAGTAACAGTCCCTCAGCCTCAGGGGAAAACAATGGCAAACCTCTTCTGAACAAGTCCTGCCAAGAAAACCCCATGATAGGAGTGCCTGAGGGTTGCCATGTCAGAAATGACTTGAAGGCACACAGCACATACACTCCATTTTTAGAAAGCTTTTCCCACCAACAAGATAGCTGAACTAATCCATAAGGTAAAAAGCATGAGGGGAAGACCTCCAAATGTGCCATAAGAGACCAGTTTTCAGAGTTTCATATAATTGGTGTAAACGGGTATGAAGGTTTTTATGGACTGAACAGATACAACACACATTGTGTGCTTGTGCATTCTGTTTTCTTCTTGTAAATCCTCTTGCTGGAAATAGGAATAGAAATAAATTATATAGTTGTTATTAGCATTGTTGCTGTGATTCTCATTATCTATATTATTTTCTTCCTAAAATGTTAGCATTATTATAGCTACCAATTTTCTAAATGTTACTAAATCAGCATTAGTACTGTGATAATAATTATTTATAATATTTTGTTGTTGGGTGCCTTCAAGTCATTTTTGACTCATGGCAACCTTAAGGTGAACCTTGTTGTCTGCTTTCAAGTCATTTCTGGCAGATGACCTTCACCTAAGCATTGACAGGGGAAGCGTGACCCAGTTGGTGCTTTTGGATGTCTCAGCAGCTTTTGATACAATAAATCATGACATCCTCTTGGAATGCTTGGGAGAGTTAGGAATTGGAGGCACTGTACTTCAGCGGTTCTGTTCCTTCCTCTCAGGCAGATTCCAGAGGGTGATGCTTGGGGACAGTTGATCTTCAAAAACAGAGCTTAATTGTGGCGTCCCTCAGGGTGCCATCCTGTCCCCGATGCTATTCAATATTTATATGAAGCTACTGGGGAAAATCATCCATAGACATGGGGTGGGGTGTTATCAATACTCTGATGACACCCAAATATACTTCTCCATGTCTCGGTCAGCAGCCATGACAGCAGATGGCAATTCTCCCCTCAATCAATGTCTTGAGGTGGTAATAGGCTGGATGAGGGGAAAAACTACTCAAACTGAATCCAGACAAAACAGAGGTACTCACAGTAGAGGCCTCCAAACCAGGTATTGGGTTGCAATCTCCAGTCCTGGAGTCACGCTCTCCTCTAAGGACTGTGTTCGCAGTCTGGGGGTGCTCCTAGACACATGTCAGGTGAATGTGACAGTCAGGAGCACCTGTTATCAGCTTTGGCTGATACACCAGCTGTGCCCTTTCCTGGAATAAGGGACCTAGAAACTGTAGTACATGCACTGGCAACCTGATGACTCGATTTCTGCAATGCACTCTACATGGGGCTACTGTTATACCTAGTCCGGAAACTACAACTAGTACAGAATATGGTAGCCAGGTTGATAACTGGTAAATCTAGGAGTGATCATATTACACCTATTTTGAAATCCCTTCACTGGCTGCCTATTGGTTTCCGAGCACAGTATAAGGTGTTAGTGATTACCTTTAAAGACCTACATGGCCTGGGTCCAACTTATCTAAGGGATCATCTCCTCCCATACAATCTGCCCCACTCCCTCAAGTCCTCTGGGAGGAATTTACTGCAACCGATAAAAACCAGGTTAACAGTAACTCCCAGAGGACGTTTTCTGCCACTCCCAGATTATGGAACACCATGCTGGAGAAGATCCATCAAATAACCAGGTTAGACAGCTTTAAAAAAGCTGTCAAGACGGACCTCTTCCGGCAGGCCTTCCCTGAATAGATCACTCCAATCTAATCTTTGCTCTCTCCTCTGTATACATCCACTGTTGTTCCAGAAGACTCGCTATGTTAATATTATGTTCTTATCTTAGTACTGTATTTAACTCTTTTAAAGGGGGAGTCAATTATTACTATTATTGTTATTATTGTTTTAATGCAGGATATGTTTTATTTAAATGTAATTTTATGAGAGCTGCCTTGTTGATTGTCTTGGCAGAAAGGTGGGATATAAGAATAAATTATTATTATTATTATTATTATTATTATTATTAATTATTTCTGATTTATGGGACCTATACAGGGTTTTCTGAAACTGATAGTGTGTGACTTGCCCAAAGGCACTTGGGTTTTCATATAATTGTGTAGTGTGAAAAGACCCCTGCAAAATGAATCCTGATAAATTATTGGAGTTGCTATCCAGAAACATGTGTAAGACCACAGAATGGCACAGTCTGGAAACTTCTGCCTGGTGTTTCACCAACAGGTGTCTGTTGGTGAAAAAGATTTTTTAAAAAAGATATACAGTAGCCCCTCCTAATTTGTGGGGGATCTGGTCTGGACCCCCTCACAAAAATATGTCCCATAGGAAATAATGGGGTGCGCACCTGTGGTTGGTGTGCGTGGTAGCGCGTGGGCGCACACCACCATTATATTAATAGGCACTTGTCCCTCCCATGAAGAGCAAGATTATGGATTCCAAGTCCACAAAAAGGAAGGGACAATTTTATATGTAAAATTATTGATAGCACTTGAATACAATGGCATGTATGAATGACAGAATGTGGTGGTGATATGCTTAGAAAATGTGTTAAACTAGAAGTTTCACAAATACCTGTAGCATTTCTTGATTTCGTCATGGGACGCTCCCTTCTCAAGACCCAGAAGTTCATAGAGTGCTTCTCCTGATGTAGATAAAGCACGCTGCCTTGGTTCAGCCATCTTATCAAAGCATTTCCGAGAACTATTGTGCAAGAAAGGAACCCAAGGGAGTAATGTTTCTTAACATTAAATTTCACAAAAAACAGAGAAACTTTGAAAGACTCCAATAATCTTTTTTTCCCCTCACTACTCTACAATGGAGGAATACAAATTTATCATGTGGGGAACTACCAGTTTTCCTACATGTGTTCTGCAATACAAATAACTGCCTGGTTTTAAACTATTCTATGGCAGCTGTTGCTCCACCCTTGGTTACCAGTTAGTTCTGTTGCTATGGGTGGAAATTATAATCCTATCCATCCATCCATGTACTGGTTCCTCCATCTTTAAGGAAGTGAATGGTAAAACTATACTAAATTTCTGACTTTTGAAACCCAACATTTCATTAATTTTAAACCTACCCAGTCCACTATTGACTGTAAAGCCTAAGAACTTCTTAGTGTCTTAGTTTTAATTGCAGTTGTCATGTACACATATGCACACACTTTAAAATCAGGATTGATCCCTATATATACACCTTATAGCCAGCCCTCATTCACGCAAGACACACAAAAAACTCGAACTTGAGAGATATGGCTATATTACTGATAAGAGAAACACTTTCAAATACAGTGGGACCTTGGTATCTGCTGGGGTTTGGTTGCAGGACACACACACCCTCCCATGCATACCAAAATCTGTGGATACTCACATCCTATTATATACAATGGCATAGTAAAATGGTGTTACTTATATAAAATGGCAAAATCATGATTTGTAATATATATTTGTAATATATATATATTCAAACCTTTGGTGCTTGAATCCATCTTTTTTACCCCATGTGTGGAGATGCTCTATGTGGCCCAAAACTCTGAAAATATGGGTTTCTAACTGTTTCTAACTGTGTAGAGAGGTCATGTGTAGAGTAGTAGCTCTTCTGACAATTATTCTTGTCCAGTTTGCACACATTTATTCTAACCCCCTTTTGGACACCTGAATAGGGCTCAGATAATTGGATAACACAGGAAAGTACCTATTGGATGAACTCAGCACACCATGTTCACAATAAGAAAGAGGACCAAGCAACTATGTTATAGAAAAGACAACCATGGGATAAGATGGTGGTCTGGATTCACTCCATGAATCCAGACTGAACTTCGGAGTGATTTCCAAAAAGAAAATTGACAATAGATTAGAAGAGAAATGTACACACAAAATCCCAAACACTCCTTAGTTTATCTGCAGTCCTTACGTTAATTTTTATGTATGCAAACATTAGTACATTTCTGTATGTCTTCAGATCACATAATTAGGGTGTGTGGAGTGATGCTCCTGAAGCATGGCAAATGCAAAACATTCTAATGATAAAAACTGGACTAAACAACAACAAAATATGTTGACACCTAACCATTGTCCCCAGTTCCCACCTGTAACCCTCTTTGTGTCTCCTAATTTGTTGCTCCTGCTACTGCCACCAGTGCTTTAAAAAGCTCAAGCAGGGTATGCATAGCATTTTACATGGCTGCCCTCCAAGGGAGATAGTAATTGTAGCAATTTTGTTCTTAGCAAAAGATACCAGAGAGAATGAGCAGGCACCTTACTGTATCCATGCTATGGCTATTTCAGATGCACAGTTGTATGTGCAGAATGTTTAAAATATTGCAAAAAAGATGGAAGCAGCAACCAGTCAGCAGCAGCACAGGCAATCTCCTAGGGCACTCTATCCACAATGTCCAGATCTGAGGGAAGACCTCTCAGGGCCATGTTTTTAAGCTTCTTTGGCTCTGTGGACAGAATTGCCAGTCCTTTCATGCATCTGGCATTGTTTTTCATAGGGTGCATGCACTCTAGAGATAATGAAGAGGAGGAAGATAGCAAGGAGGATGGAGTAGGTCTCCTTGTGCTTCAGGCAGTGTGAGAGCATGCGTGGTTGCTGCTAATAGGAGAAGCTCTAACATTTCCTGAGGAGCAGGGTAGAAGGATGCAATAAAGGTAGTAGCCTATCTAGAAAAAGCATCATGGCAGAGTTAAGGGTTCTTTCAGATGAGCTATCAGCTTTTAAAATTTGCAATCATCCTAGTTCAAACATGGCATTTTAGTGAAGATTCAGATGTCAGTCTTCCATTTGTAATATTTTCCTACTACTTTTGTCCTTTTTTGCCACAAAAAAAAATCGATCAAGAAGAGCTACACAATGTCATTTGATTGGTAGCATCAAGAAACCCCTAGGATGGAATGGTGTGGTATTAACTGTTTAAACAATAGGGCCACTAGAAGAAAATGAACAAGGAGAATGGGATGGGG